GCCTGGAGCATGTGAACAGAAAGACACTTAGCATGTCGGCTTTGAAGTGAACTGTGTCTGACCAGCTGCTGCAGCCACATTTATCTGTCTACCCCACAGAACCAGTATCGTCTCTGGCCTTTATCTTCCTTTCTGCCCCCTTAGGAACAGAATATGACAGAAAACTGGTTTTCAAGAGTTTTCCTATTGTGACAAAACAAAACAGCCTTTACAGTTTCTCAAAAGACTGTTCTCTGTGTCCGTTGGATTTCACGTTTTGTAAACTGTGATTAAAATGCACACAATGTCCCGTAAGAAGCGCAAAGAAATATAGAAACATTTAAATACGATAATAAAACAGTAACAACAGAGGAATAAGGAATATCACATGTTTTATAAAGGATGTACACAATTTAAAGCCTGCACCGCCCTTGGAGACAGTCTGGCAGCGTGGAGGCCAGCAGGTGGAGCCTTTGCCCTGCTGGCGGTGAAGCTGAGGCATGAAGGATGGCTCCAGCATGACTGACAATAAAAGGAGAACCCCCCCCCCCCAAAAAAAAAAACCAAGTCCTGCTCAAAGCCAATTTAAAGATGTTTCAAAGTGATCTGAAAGTAAGAGCTGATACTGCATCAGCAGTGCTCCATCACAGCGACTTAAGGTCAAACTCACAGCAGATGTGATTCGGAAAATATCTGATTGGAATCTAAACAGTTTCTAAAGCCACTTTAGAATCGGAAGAAAACATGTTTTACCTTTCAGCAGAAATCCCAGTAGGGTCCCGAGAAAGAGCCCTTGGGAGAGACTTGTGTGTTGCAATGTGACCTCTGACCTCTGTGGGTGTGGAGGCAGGATTCCACTGCAAATCCACTGCAGTTCAACTGCACTCCTTTCTAAAGGCCACTGTTTTTTTTTTTTTTTTCCTTCTATCAGTTTCCTCCGTATCTCCCGGAGGAAGTAAACACACCACTTTGTGACAGAAAACACACTTTGCAGCGTCTGCTCTGCTGGATAGAAGAGGAGCACCACTGTGAGCCTCAAAATCAAAACCACGTCTGTGTGCAGAGGTTTCACTGCAGCGACTCTTGTCATCTTCTCCTGGGTATTGTTTTTTTTTCTTTTAAAATCACTAACCTGAATTTCCCCCCTTTCCAATCACTTTTTCTTATTCTTCACACAGTCATCACAACATACACTCAATCGCAGATCCCTTTTTCAGTGACCGCAGATTTCAAACTTTGTGCACTGCCACGGCCACCGATGTGGTTTTTCAAACAGTTTTACAGCCCTTCCTAGAGGATGGTGTTTCGTTTCCTTCCACCTTACCCTCCATTCCTCAACCTCACAGAGGAATTCTTTTCCTCGCGGAGGTGGAGAGTTTATGACCTCCAGCCGCATGATCAGACGTCTCTCCTGGACACAATTACCGCGGGATGTCTAGACATATCTGCAGACGACCGGCTCAGGCATTGAAAAAAGATTCTTTCTCAGGTGCAGTGCAAGAGAAGACGTATGGTTGGATTTCATTGACACCTTGTACTTATTTATACATAACTATATTCTATACATGTACTAGTGAACACAATGCTGCTTTGTTTTGTATTTTGATTCCTGGAGGAACTTGTGTTCCATTGTTTTCCAATTGAAATGATGAAAAAGACATAAAAAATACAAAACATTCTCTTTTTATTTTCTTATTAAATACCTATTAATTACTACAAGGCAGTTGTGTGGGATTTTTGAATGAATGGATGGAGCATGGGCCAAGAAAGAACCCATTACATTTTGCCGCTGGTCTGGACAATGGGGTTTGTTTATTTATTCTTTCACATTTTCACAACTTCCCAGAAATATAAATCATGGATCCTGATGAAAACACATCACACACATTTAGGGGGACTTAGTATTGACTTTACTGAGTGCCATTCTAGTTTCTGCAATGGGATCATGTCAAATTGGATCTTTATCCCTTAAAAGTAAATAAATTCGTATAAAATACAATAACAGATAATTCATCAGTAACAGTTTGTTGTAACGCTCACTGTTGTAAGCGATTGTTAAGTGAGTCAGAGTAGAGAACTGTGTGTCACAGATCAGAAGAACAAACAAACACGTAACTTCCCCCACAGCTTGTTGCTCGAAGCCTCAGTCAAAGCGTTGACTTTGCACACGGCCGCTAATAGGTCACGGCTCGGGTCAAAGGTCGGGACTGAGACAGCTGCCTTTTCATATGAGGCAAAATTTAAATAACGGAAGCAATTAAGGTCACTTGAGCGGCGCGCACACCGAGTGATGAATTCTAAATGGAGACGACATGCGACGAGGACAAAAAGGCCTCTTCAATGTTCCTGCACCAAACTACGCTGCAACGGCAACATGTGTTTTGTATGAAACGTGGTCGCCGGCTGGAGCGCGCTCAGAGGCTGCGTTTATGAACGGGAGTGGAGTCAGTGGCGGGGGTTCAAAACCAAATGACTCACAATCACACCAGAGACTGCAGGGGTTCACATCCTGTGCGAGTCCTGTCCGGGGTCACCTCAGGCAACAACAGCCCTTCGGTTAGCGTCAGCGAAAGATTGCGGTTTTTAGTTTAATGCAAATAAAAAAATGTTGTGAGTGAAGTCACTTTTTTCCAGTTTTAATCCAGACCGCAATCTTTCCATCACCCCCACCAACATAACATTAGCATTAATAACGCTGGAGTCACTGTAAGCGGATGTTGTGCAGATATATGAAATATTTTAGCATAAAAACAAACACGTTGCCTGTGACACGAGCAGTTGCGCTAATGTTTCCTGCAAAACAGATTTGCTCTTGTGTCAAAGTTTTATTGAAATGTCAAGTCGAGGAGACAGGGTTGTATTCAGTGCGCCCACAGGATGGAGGGGTGGTGTCGCACAAGTTGGAACTCCACCCAACATCGGTCCTTTATCTATCAAAAGCCCTTTATACCCTTTTTACACCACAATTATTTGGTCATGACACAAACTGTAAATGGTTTGTATTCATATAGAGCTTTTCTAGTCTTAAAGCGCTTTACAATACAGTTTTGTCGTTCACCCATTCACACACATTTATACAGTGCATCTTTGTGCAGCACTTTCTCCATCATATCAGTGACGGCAGAGAGATGAAAAGAACATTACGCACACCCACACACACCCACACACACACACACACACACACACACACACACACACACACAAACGTGTACTTCTATTTTGGTGAAGACACTTAATTTTGAAAAATGTCCTCGCTCCATAAGGTCTATCACATTTTCTCAAATCTATACAAGCACACACACACACACACACACACACACACACACACACACACACACACATAAACACTTGGTGTCAGACAGCCTGCCATGTGGATCCCCCTCCAGCTTCTATATTTAATTTCTTCATTTCCTCTCTGGGAGTGGGGATGAGAGGCAGAGACAGCTCCTCTGTAACCTCACACATGCAGGACCTGAGCAGGTTGCAGGAGCTGAGCGTCATCCAGGAGGACAGCGAGCTGGAGCTGGAGCAGAGAGACGAGGCCGCGTGCCTGCTGTATTTAATCAGCACCGTTGTGGTGCGATGGCCCTGAAAATATTTTGGAAAAAATAGAGTAATCCAAGAGCAGATAGAAATAGAAAATCTTTAAACAGTCCTGAAAAGTGTTTGGCAGATGGCCTCTCGGCACCATAAATGCATCACATGTGTGCTGCTGCTTTGACGGAGACCAGGAGGAACATATCTGGAGGTGATTCTAAAATTAAAGGATAAGTCTGGTGTTGCTCTGTTTTTTTCTAACAGACAACAAACTCCTGACTCTACCTGTCTGAGGTCCCTGCAGGAGATCTTCACAACCTGCTCACAAATAAGTCTGCTCTTCATTTTTCAAACGGAAATTAGCAATGATGGGTGTTTTCATGAGAACAGTTAAGAATAAAAAGATATTTATTATTATATATGATGAGACTTACACATTCCGTTCTGTTTTGGAGGATGTTTGTACATATTTAACGTCTGAATTTGGGGAAAAGGTTGTTTGTGGCCACATCTATTCTGTCTGGGACAGATTCTAACTTTTTATGATTAATTTCCTTGTTTACTGTGTAATAGTAATATATAAACTATTAATACATGATTTACAGCAGGAAGCAGTTCATTAGTGTAGTTGTCAGTGTTTGTGCACTTTAAACAAATATCAAATTACTGACAATCTTGTGTATTGTATATAATATTGTATTAGATTTTCTGATTTGACTTATATTATTTGATTTTTCTCTAAATTAATTAAAATCTTCTATTTTTATTGAAACTAATATAACATTATCGTAATCATATAACATATGAATCAGATTTTTCTACATAATAGATAGATTTCATCTATTTTATATGGGTACATTTTTAGTTGCCATGACAACTGAGCAATAACCACCCTGTCGCTTAGAGGCTGTGGTGAAGCAATTAAAAGCTTGGAGATAAATCCTATAAAGTGGATGTCAAATTAAAATTTTGCATTTAGTTGTTTGCTTTTCTTATTGATCAAGAATGAACCATTAATCTAAATGTGTGAATTCTGAACATATTTTTACCAACAGGTACAAACTAAGTTAGTGAATGCTGCATGGTCCTGAAGGATACAGAAGGAACTGTTCAAGGAGGAAAGAAAAAGAGTTCCTCTCATCTCACTCTCTAAAAGGATGAATGGTGGCACTGAGGATGCCCCCCCTCCTCTGCAACAGGACAAAGATTAGTTTGGATAATTATTATTCTAAATATTGGCAACAACAACTAAAAAGACGTTACTTGTCTGTACCTGACATGTCTGTGTGGTTCAGAATGGAGCTGCAGCCAAATGAGGTGAAAGGTCACAGAAATAAAACCAGTAGAACCACAGTCTGTGTGTCTGTGCTGCTGAAATGAATATTCACCCTGTGTCTCACACACACTCACACACACACACAAACACCCAACCAACTTCAATTTTTTTTGTTTTTAAATTGGACTTCAAGACATGTTCAGACTTTATTGCGACCCGCTCGGAATTATCTGGATATTGTTTCTGGAAGCTTCTTTAAAAATGTGTAACTCTTAGAGCGTCACACACCAAATTCCAGTCCCCTTCATAGTTCTGGCAGAAATCTCTAAACATCTGCCAAAACATGCTGATCCAACAGGCTGAATGACAAACTGAAGGTGGCGCTGTTCACTCTGATCTGCAATCTTAGACTTTACATTTGTTTCTTTGCAGATAGGAGGAAAGCTCTGTCCGGAGACACGGAGAAGAAGTCGACCGTCCGGCCGCCACATCCCGTCAGACCAGAAGACAGTGAAGAACAGTAGGGTGTGGAAAACAAGAAGCCAGGTTGAATTGACGAAGACGCAAAGAAAACACGGTCAAACAATAAAGAATAAATAAATAAGTCCAGGTCGACCCTGTGTGGAGAATCGAATCTTTATCTTCTTCACTGCTCTTGCTCTCTTTTTCCGTCTTCTTCTCTCCATCGCCCTCCTCGTTGTCACTCTCGCTGATGCTGGCGTCCTCTCCGTCTTGTCAGAGTTGTTCTCTGGTTGGGAGAGGAGCTGCAGGCCCGGAAGAGGAAGGTGGCGGCGACGTCTCCTCAGCCGTTGGATCTTTTTCTGGAACATTCTCCCCCTCCATGTCCAAATGGTGCCTCTTCCACATCACGGCCATGGCGAGGAGCTTGAGGTTGGCTTGGTTGGCGGCGTCCTCTGGGAAAATGTAGTTATAGCACTCCTCCCAACCAACATCCGACTGGTGGGATATTAGGGAGAGATAATGATCAAAACCTGTGACTGGCTGCAAGTCATCGTTAGTTTCATCCTTTAAACTGTGGCTTGTTAAACTAATAATCCAATTTGTGTATAAAATGTAAAAATAGAAATTGTAGCCCTTCAGCAGCTTATTCTAAGGACATTTACCGATCGCTGAGCCCTGAGCTAAGAGAAACGGGAATGAGAGGAAGTCACAGCTGCATGTAGGTGTTCGGAAAGTTTTCCTTGATTGCTTTTTATTATTTGCAAGTGACACATTTGCCTCTAACTTGACCTGCTTTACTTTATTTCAATCTGCCATGCATCCTAACTGGACAATGTTTCTGTTGTGGTATCTCACCATGGCTTTTCTTGCTCCCTGCAGGTTCTTCTGTCGGATCTCAAACTGAGCGTCAATCAGCCAAATCCAAAAATAGGATAAAAGAACAACAGTTTAGTTGAAAAAATTCTGTTCTCCTATTTTAACTCATTATTATTTACATTATATTAACAGAGAGTCAGGACTGTATGATCATATTTGTCATAACAAACCTGTATTACCTGTTTATGAGGGATGAGATCCAGATCCTGATACACCTGCCTCGTTCTCTCTGGATCCTGACGGAACAAGAATAAAAATGTTTGAATATAATTAAATGGATTGTTATTGATTTGTTATTTGTTATACAATTAGATAGAATCTCAAGACACATGACCAACCCATATTATTTTACCCTGGTCTCTTCTGAGACTGTGACCTGATAAATTCAATATCGCTCCGTAATGGACAGACAATCTTCTCATTACCAAATTTTTTTTTTTTTAATCCAGGAAGTGGGTGGCACCCAACCATATTTTGAAGATGTGTGTGTGAAACAGTGGGTGTAGTGCAAGCTAGAAACAAGTAGGGGCACTAATGAGCAACACTCACCCAAAAACGTGTCATATGGGCCAATGCTAAAAACTTCACAGGCATTCAGTGTAGCTCCAGTATTTATTTAAAAGGGTTATCCATATGAGGACCGGATTTTTGGGTCCCCACACCATAACCGGTCCCCATGACGTGGCTGTGTAAACACTTTTTTGTCCCCACGATGTGATGATTACCAGAACACACACACACACACACACACACAATCACACACACACAAAGCGTTCCATTTCAGTGCAATAACACATTTATTTCCTGTTTCTTTGTGCCTCCACAGGCTCGAGCAGAGCTGCATGTCCAGCAGAGACGTGTGCATGAAACCACCCTTAGGTAATGGATCTGTGCAGCCATTGATTGTATTGGTTTGATGCTGACGCCGCTCTGTCTGAAAGGGAGGGGTCTGCACAGAAACCCCTTCTTTGGGGGTCTCAGGGCTGTGAATGGGGCTTATGAATGAAGTGAATGCCGGCTACAAATTAACCACACACCGAGTAAATTGACTGCCTCTGTGGGAGGAAGTTATGCAGGCATGAAAATAAATGTTTTGTGTGACAATGTGTGCTATATGACCACGTTAGATTTCCCAAAGCTCAGATGTTCAGTGAGCATTAAGCTGCTTTGCTCACCGTGCAGCACGGAGAGGAGCAGGCTGCAGGATCGTGGGAAAGGTCCTCCACGTAAGGCACTTTATTCTTTGTGTTTGTTGTTCTTGTGTAATTGATCTCACTCCACGTCCACGGCGGAGTTCTTCAAAGGCCCATAACTTTCTTTTTTTTTTTTAGGCCTGCACCACTACATCAAGTAGAATTATTCTACATGTCTTCTGCATCATTTCCCAAATCCTTCTGGCAGTTTTTTGGTACGTACATCTTTGGGGTACCCACAAGAATTCCTAATAAAGCTGTGATTTGTGTTTCTTTGTGTGCTGCTGTGTGTGCTCTACAACGAGGAGAGAGAGGGGGGGGGGGAGCACATGTGCAGGTACTCAGCAAATAATTTTGTGAAGGTCAAAGAAACATTAACAGACAGGAAGCAAACAGGGGAGTGTTGGAGGAGTGTGGACGCTTTCCACAAACAGATGAAAAACAACAGAGGTCTTTTTGAAAATGTTCTTTTCAAAAGTGCATTTTAAAGTAGAAATTCACTCATTTCAATTTCACATTTAAAAGCACCGAAGTATTCCAGGGTGTTTGTTCTTTTGTCACATTTTTGTAATCGAGGCTGTGTGATGTTAAGGAGCCTGCTGTTTACAGATATTATCAAGCCGCCATTCAAAGGACAATGAAGGGGCCTTACAATCATTTTGATAACTTTGATATCAATTATCGAAATGTTAATTTGTCTACAAAATAATCAATAAATCCTTGCTGATACCAGTGATTATCTGTGGCAACACTATGTGTCCTACAGGCCTATAAGTCCAGACATGAACTCAGGAGAATGTCTGCAGAACTGGGTCCGGACATGCACAACGCAGCAGGAGCCTCTCTGCTCAGACGTGTTCTCAACAGCAGTAAAAACTCCGGATCCTCTGTATTTTCTGCGGAGGAGGTGCAGCCAGAGGCCCCCTGCATTAGCTGCTTTTCTCTCTCATTTGCTCATTCAGAAAAGAAAAGAGAGTCCGGAGCCTCTCGCTTGGACATCTGAGTTTCTCCCAGAGTCCCTCCGGAGGATCTCCGGAGGTCAGGGCCCATGTTGAGAGCAGCTCCGCTCTTGATTGCAGTGTTGAGGGGACACTGTCCGGTGTTTAAACACATCCACTCTTTTCATTCACAACAACACCCCCCAGTGAAACCCATTGAAAATGTGACTTTAATTCATAAATTCACTCCGCCATGTTTGACCTGCAGCTCCTGCTCCTCTCTGTTGTTTGTGCCCCCCCCGGACAGTATTATCCACCCACGGGAGGAGAGGTGATTCCTCTCTTTTTTCTTCCTCCTCTTCTTTTTCTTCTTCTCCTTTTCTTTTTTCAACCCCCCCACCCCTCCTCCTCCTCCTCCTCCTCCTCGCTGAGTGGAGTCTGGTTCTCGGGGAGTGTGGATGTGGTTGTTGTACCCGCGCTCCTCACACGATCCGCAGCCCACTGAGCTGTCACGCCTCGCCGCCTCCTCCTCCACCTCCACCTCCTCCTCCTCCGCCTCCGCCAGCGCCGCATGGTCCTGCCCGGTGCCGCGGTGCTGCTGCGCTGTAGCCGAGTTCCGGCCGCTGCTGCTCGGCGTCTCCAGAGTCCGATGTCCCGGCGGTGTCCTCCTGTCTTCTGCTCGCCGAGCCAAACCCTCCAGCTGCCGCCTGCGGGCTCACTCCTCCAGCGCCACAGGTCGTCCAGCCCGCGGGACTCCTCCAAGTGGACTACACACGCGTAAAAGTCCCGCAGAAATTACTGCCCCTCTTTATTTCATTGCTGCTTCTCCCCACCCCCCCCTGCTTTTTTATTTTTTATTTTTAAAGAAGAGTTTTCCATTCACCTGGAGGACGGTAGGAACCATGAGTGGTCGCGGGGACGAGGCCGGGGAGAGCTCCGGCTCCCAGGAGCCCACCGGTGCCGCGGAGCCCCAGAAGAGGAGGCCGGGGAGACCGAGGAAGCCACCGAAAGTAAGTGTGGATGGTCTGTGATTTATTATAAAAACTTTATTCCACCAGGGAAGAGTTACAGAGCAGAGAGCCGCACAGTGATCGGCGTGTGGAGCTGTTTCCAACTCGGGCTGCAGAGTTGATACAAGTCCTGTAGAAGTGTGGATCTGATTCGGATCAGTTTGATGAAAACATTTGATATTGCAAAAACAATCAGGGGATTGACCTGATATTGATATCGATCGCTCTGTACTGACAGTGAAGCAGCGTGTGCAGTCCACCATGACTCCTCCAGGCAGGTCTCTGTCTGCACAGGACCCAGAGAGCCACAGTATTTCCTACAAATAAGGAGGAATGCGCCTGTCTGCAGGCCTGGCTCCGTGCCACTGGTTTTAAATGACAACATGAGTAAGAAGGAAAGTATGGGGATGAGTGTAACTCTGATTCAGAGACAACTGAGGGCTTTTATACACGGTTGAAGTGGATGATCACCAGAGGTTCCCAGCAGAATCACGTCGTCAGGGCTGCAGTGTTAGTGAAGGTGTCTCCTCTCTGATTGTTGATGTGCAACATGTTGAAACACACCAGCTGGATTTAGGTTCATTTGAAGATATTTGAATCACAAAGTTAAGTCTGAAGTGAGGAAGTGCAGCAGCAGGTTCAATATTAACCCCCCCCTGCTTTCCTTCCTTCTATCAGGGCCGCCTCACTGGCTGAAACCCCTAACCTTCACCCAAACCTTTTCCTAACCCTCAAACCAAGTCTTCCTTTAAAAGCCCGGGGATTGATGTTCCCCATGCTGTGGCTGTGTAAACAGATTTACAGTGCGTCCCCACAACATGCAGTGGCCAAAGGGGGGAGTTCAAGGCTTTGTTTCCCATCCTTGACACCCATGTCATGTCCTCCCTCCCTTTCAGGAGCCAAGTGGAGAGCCTGTCCCCAAGCGACCAAGGGGCCGTCCCAAAGGAAGTAAGAACAAGGGCCCTTCCAAGGCAGCGCAGAAGGTGAGGAGCCTCAGAACGTGAATGACACACAGACTCCACCACTCACTTTGGAGGACATTCATTACGTCCCCAATAGCCAACATATGGCTTTTTGAGTGGACACGTGTGGGGACTATTAACTGTTAAAGCAACTTTGATATCTACCATTTCATTCAGATTTATTGCAGCAGTTGTTATTTGATTGAAAGTCATTTAAGGTCCAGTGTATAGGTTTTAGGGGGATCTATAACATTGAATTTATTATTCATATTTATGTTTTCATTACAACATAATTATTCATTTATTACATTTTAGTTTTTTTTAAGTATGAGCCCTTTATATCAACATAGGGAGTGGGCCCTCCTCTGCAGAGTCTGCATGTTGCACCACCATGTTTCTAGCCCAGAACAGACAAACCAACCACTGGCTCTACTTTTTTAAATATCATTTTTATTATCTGAAGTTGACTATACACACTTGAGCTGCTCTCTATCGCTGATTTCCGTCGATGACGTTTTTAACACGTGACAGATGCAAAAACTAAAAGAATACAAACATGTCAGGATGAAAAAGTGGTGCCATACAAGTAGAAAGTCAAGAGAGTTTGTGGCGATAAAGGCCGATGCCGGTGTTGATGTGCTGTAAACAAAACCCGTGCAGAATGAAAATGTTACGTCCTGCCTTCCTGCTCCACCCCTCGCCTGAACGCATCCGAGCAGAGAATCTCCCGCTGCGTTCTCCATGTGTTTTTTCATGTGTTCATTTTCTGAAAATTGTTTTAGAGGAAGGTTCAGGCATGGGGGTTTTATTCCACTATATGCCCGGAAATCCTACACACTGAACCTTTAACTTTTCATGCTATGATTTTTGGTTAGCACTTTGCATGAGCTGCAAACTTTACCATTCCTTGTGACGTAACATAGATAAGAGCTGTGGTGAACAACACAATCACTAAAGCATCTTTCACACTGGACACAAAAAAAAACCACTAACACCCACCCATACACATCTGGCTTTTGTCTTGGGTGGGAAACACTACAATCAGCATTCATTCCCAGGTCAAATGACTCTGCTGTAGTCACGGGTATTTATCGGCTCCAGCTCCGGCTGGCATGGAATGTCTGGACATTTGTAGACATGTTTACTTATTCTTTGATCCGACAGTTTTTGATTTGTTAAAGCGTTTCATTCTTCTGTTCAAATTTCATTTAGTATTCGGCTACTTTTGTTAAATAGAAGAAAACAATTATAAAGAAGAACACGTCTATATATTCTTCTAAAAAGTTCTATTTGCTGAAAGTCAGGTATCTTGGCACTTACATTAAAAAGGCACAATCATTACTGAGACCTAACCCTGACCTAGGTTCATGTTGGATCACTGATTGGTGAAAAAATATCTCCTCACGTTTATTACAAGTATAAAAGAAACGGCCAAGAGAAAGTCTCTAATTGATCCATGTGGAGTTTTGTGCATGTGCAGCCAACAGAGCATCATAACTCACTCACTTCGGCTGTGAAAACGCAACTGCAAACATATGAAAACAGAGACATGCCGACGTATTTGCGCGCCTGTGCAGATGCACACACGCAGCCATAACTCAGCTGCACCTTCACACACTTGTGTACACATCTCCACAGCAAGAGGGAGACAGCGTGCATTAGAGATAAAGGTGATGGATGAAAAAAGGTTAAAGTGGCAAAGGAACACTGATCCAGAGCAAAGCTCTGACATTTTACAGCGATATCCCACCATACCTTTGGCTTTCCGTTACCAGTCCCCCAGTGTCTTCATTCATGAGACAGATAAAGCTGTGATAGGCTCACGCTGACAGCAGCCTTAGTGCTCCCTCGCCGCGGCGAACCACTGTAAACATTCTCAGCACTTCTTTGAAAAGTGAACCACTCTGCTCTCGCCATAATCCAGTCGAATCTCATCTGACACTGTTATAATAAACACTGACGGTATCGGTCTGTTCAGATGAAAGGGCTCCAGGGTCAGCCCACACCTTTAACGTATACTCTTTAAAAGTTCATTTCCCCTTCCCATATCATTCACCGCGGCAATCTCTGACAGATATCGCAGTAGCTTGTAAGAAGAAAGGATTTTACTGCACACCTCGATGGGATATTACTGACCTTTTTACTGCGAGAACAACTCGAATTCTCACCAAACTCTGAGGTCGTCCTCGCCAGACGGTCGCAGGATTGGTTGCTTGTTTAGAAAGAACCTCCTGACAAGGCATGACAGTTGTGTCGTTACTTCCATTAGGGTGCGGAGGTGGATGGATTGATGAACCTCAGTCTGCCTAAAACAAACACAGTCCTACAGAGTGGGCTCTGACCTGTTCTGAATGGCCACACTCAAAGGCAGAACAAAAAGCACGCAGTCCCAACCTGATGAATCGTACGAATGGAAATAAAGGCTTACACTGTCCGACAGTGGCACTTTGCAGCCGTTCATGCTGCTGCACGTGAAATGCATGTGGAAATGTGTTATTAACCAGCCGAGCCAAATTTGGATTATTAAGAAATTGCAGAGTTTATCAAATTAGGTTTCAAAAGCGAGAAATACAACATACAGGAGCCTTTATTTACAGACGCCAGGGGTGTGTCAACTGAAGGAGCTGAGAACAAGCCTAAACGTTTTAAGGTGGCCGCCGTTCGGTTGATTGGTCCACATAAGGGTTCGATTGACAGCGTTTGAAATAACCCAAATGAACGAACATTACAAGTTAAGCAGATTTGAGTTTGTTTTAACCAAACTGGCTGGGAGGCTCAGTTATGATTACGTTAAAGGCAGGTTTGGTAATAACACTCACTCAGAAGTTAGTGAGTGAGTCACATGAAGTAGGCTTCTTGCAGTTCAGTGCACGTTCGTGTGGGCGTAGAGGGTTGGGATGTATCAGTTGCATTTTTGTCAGTGAAGTCTGCTCCTGCTTGTTCCAGGATTACCAACCCTAGCTTTAAGCATCAAAATGAAAAAAAAAGAAAACACTTGGATTTAGTGGGGATTCATTTTACATCCTGGCCTTTCGCGTACACTGGGTATGTGCAACTCGTAGACATTTGAAAGAAGTGTGGACGCCAGGCTTAAATGTAGCAACGATGATGTGTGTCAAAAACTAAAACGTAGTAGTCTGGATATAGCCCGAGTCATTGAACCATTTCGTCAATGCCAAAAAAAACTGCATGAAAACATATGACAAAACTGCCTTTCATGGTCTAACTCCATAATTTAGTGTTACTCATAGTATTTTCACATTTAGAAAAGAATATATTTTAACCAGAAGGTTTTTCTAACCTTAGCAAAGTTTTTTTCTGGTCCAAACCACAAACCCTTCTTTACCCTGACAAGTCATTTTTCATCCTAAACCTAACCAAACCTCCACCACAGCAGTGGCACATCAGAAGAAGGCCCCATCAATCTTCTTGTAATAGTCACTTATCGAATGGTTCTTAAAGGTGATCCTGCTGAGAGGGACAGCTGACGAGAACAATTTTTACGAAAGCAGTTCCAAATGACCTTCTTTGACCTTTTTCTTTGCAGACCTTGTTGTGAAATCATTTTTAATATGGAATATCAAGTTTCCAGTTGCTATTTTATTTTAATTGCCTTTTTAAGAATATGACCTATGAGTAGTTTGATGAAACCAACACTGCAAAGAAAAAGAGGGAATCTGGTAAACCTTTGTTTCAGTCGGTCAGGACGTTTTATAGATTTATGGCAGGCTCCCTCTGATCTCTAAGAATTCTGGGCTCCTGCAGACAAGCGGTATCTCCCTGCTCAGACGTATTAAACACGATGATGATTAATTGAACAGGGTGTTGTCTTTCAGACCATTAAACCTGCACATTAAAAATGCAGGATCCCAAAAGGAGAACTGGGATTACAGTGCACTGATTGGCGAGCCAACAATGTCATGTGTCACGATGAAGAGCTGCTAATGAACATCATCACAAAACATCTTTTTGTTGTATCCTAGGATACTTAGCTTCTTTAAAATTGGAGGGTTCCTATTCATCACCTGTCCTGGCTTGACATAACCTGATAGTTGCCTTTATTTGATGAACAAAGTAGAAGGTTTTACAGATTTAAAGGTAATTTAATGCAAGAATTGTGAGACCAGACTGGTGAAAGCAATGACGTGCACTGAAGAGAGGCTGAAACCAATACTGACATTTGGTCTTTTTTGATATGTGGCAACATTTTTATTTGAGGACATAATAAGGATTTTATTATATTGGAGGTATAAGTACATGTTAAACTGATAATGGTCATTTAAAGAACACGGGACAATAACAATGAAGGTGCTTCGTTTACCTATACAACCAGGGGCTGTATGAAGCAAATTCAATATGTCCATCTTTTCATTATCTGGCTTCACTGAACCAAACATCGGCCCCAGAGGATGACCATGTACTATGAAGCTGCTTTTTTCAACAGGTTTAATTTTCCTATTTTATGTGAACGAGGCAGAATTGTTACGAGCAACATTGTCAAAACCATGAATACAGTACTTCATATGTTATGAGGGGCAATTCTGATCATTGCTTTGGTAAATTGAAATGAAGCTTTGATTGTTGTGAAATATGAATTAAGTGTGATAAATTCCCCCCCTGGTTATTAGAAGCTCTGTTTAAAAAACAGAGTTGACACATGGAGTGAATGTAGTCATCTGTTGTGATGTATTCTTTGCCACTTTATTATAAAGTCTAGTCAGGATTTGTTAGATCGATGATTCTGGTTTGACTGGTCAGCAGTTAACCATGAATTATGGCAATAACACTGAAAACCCAGGATTAAACCTGAAGTCACCTTGATGTCCATAAATCCCTCTTCATAGTACAGGCCTCAGGTCGACACCAATTTATTTCACGAGTCCTTCAATTTTAACAGCCTTAGAGATTGCGTGTCCCGATAGCTTCAAATAAAACCAACAGGAGCGTACCAGTGTCGGGTGCACTGGACCTTTGTTGCGATAGTAACAATACACGTGGTCAAGGTTGATCCTGGTCATGGTTTGGTTAGGGTGCACACAAACTATGTGGTTAGGTTTGGGGAAAGATTGTGGCTTGTGACTAAAATAAGTACTTCCTTCAGGTTAGAGGACGTCTGTTGTCATGGTTACATTGATAAATAAGTGATCATGGATAAAATAAATAACATATGATAACTAAACAGTTAATTATCACTTTATAGACAATGTCAGGTCATTTAGCAATAAAATGCAACTATGTGCTGCTGACATGGCCACCGTATTAGCTCGCTGTTTGCAGGAGGACAGTCTCATAGGTGCACCATGGGAAGAAAGACTTTCAGAAATGCTGGGGGTTTGCTCTGTGAATAAACACATATAAGACAATGCTGGTGAGGTATTGACAGACTCCACCTGCGGCCATGTGACCAGGCTTTGTGCTTCAGTTTCAGTCTGACAAAGGAGCTGGTGTTGTTTACTGCACCAAAGCTCCGCTCGTGCCCAAACACCACGATATCACTGATACAGGCCTTTGGCTGGTCATCGTCTGCAAAATTCATTGCAGCTCATCAATTTGACTAAGATTTCACCTGACTCCCAGCCAAGAACCGCGGAACCTGGATATATCCGATAAATTATTGACACTCGTCTGGTCGTGTTAATGGCAGATGACTGCAGGGCTTTGCCTTCTGGCTGTGCAGGACAGATTCAGGTCCAGCCTCTCTCAATTCCCTTTAATCGATCTGTTATCTCAGGAAGAAAGGTAATTCCGTCGCCTCGAGGCAAAGAAACAGGGACATTCCTGTTGGCGGTATGGAAAGTTCTGTGATCGTTCACACTTGTTGCTTTGCAAACTGTGATCATTTCCATACATGCAGTCCAGAGTGTGTCCATACAAAAGTACCTTGGTCACATTATATCATCCAGTGTCTCCTCAAAGCTGGCACCTCATTGTCAAAGCTCAAGCAATTTCATTGAACCTTAATTTTTTTTCCCTCAGAAAGTACCTTTTTAAATTTTTTATCTGAAAATTTCTGCAGAGCCTAGTCTGCCATGTTTACTCCATAGATTGCTCCTGTCAGACTGAGAATTACTGAGCCTTTTTTTTTTAAATACCAAGATTTCTATTCTAAGGAGTCATTGGGCTTAGGTAAAATGAGAATGAAAGCAGTTATGTTTTAATATTTCATATGTTATGCATTTTGTCCCACACGGTATTTAGAAATGAGTTAACACATTATGATCCTGATCTTTTCATGGGCTGTGTTAATATTTAAAAATACAGGATAATGCCAGATGTATCATAAAACACTAAATTAAGTGACATTTGTTACAAAAGGCCACTGTGTTGAAACATTTATATAACGGGACATAAGGAAAACACAAATGCACACACAGCACTGAGACCAAACAGATTCTGACAACATTGAATAAATAAAATACAGAGGTGTGGTTTCCATTGTTGTTAAGGTTTTGTTACACTATTGTTGCATGACAATGCTAGGTTACTGTGTGTTTGTGCTGCATTTCCATACAACCATTGTGTCACTTTGTCAAAATCGATGGGTTTTTCTCAGGAAAGTACTTTTATTTACATTTGAACTATTTTTAACAAAAGGCTCAGTGATTTCCTGGAACAGCGGGTTCTGTAGTTTTTATCAAAACATAAGTCAAACAGAAAGAAGTCGCACGGAACTATATTCAGCTGTAGATTAATCCACATTCAATGCTGTGAATGCTCTATGGCCCAGAGGAGTAAGATGTTTCAGTTTCAGGCTTTCCATGCATGTAGGCGCCTGCTGATGGTGTGAATAAAAAAAAGCTGAAAAATGTTTTCTTGAGGCATAGAGCAGGTCGTCCATTAACTAGAGGGTCGGCGGTTTGATCCCCTTCTCTCCCATTTCACGTGCCAAAGGCAAGATACTAAATCTCCACCGTGCCAGCAGTGTGACAGAGAAAGCGCTGCACATAGATGCACCATATGAACGTGTGTGAACAGGTTAATGTAAAAACTAACGAGTGGATATTCATATTTGTATAATTATATTATTTACTTAAATTCCTTACTCTTTAACCCAAAGAATGGTTCTGGCTGGTCAATATGTTGCTGGATCATGTTTCCAGTTATCAGTACAACATTCTGCCGGAGCCATGAGAACACTGATATCATTAAAAGAGGAGTCACACAAAGTCAGGAAAGACGACACAGGAGTGCGACAATCAGAGTCCCAGGTCAGGCAGACGTATTTGCAGGAGAAGACAAAGGTGAACATCCATCACAGGTCACAGATCAGGGCTCACTTTCCTGCTAGTTGTGCGCGCACAGTATTTCTGTGCAGCGAGGCGATAGCTCACGCTTCTTGACCCTTTGGACTTAGTTGCAGCGATCTCACCATGTTCCCACACCTCGGTAATTAACTTGGGGAGTTAACTGTTATTCTAAGTGATAGAAACAACAGCCAAAGACATGAAGAAAAGACCCAAGTTACAATACGTCAAGATTGTCCGAGCCACAGAAAGGGAAGCCTTCAGAAAAAGCGCGGCCCCTGGGATATCGACAAAGTGGCTGCGGTATTTTTTTCACCACAGAAATAATTTATTTTTAAAATGCTGAACACATATTTCTATGCCTCACAAATTTACAATCAGAAGTTGAACAAAAAGCTGTATTGGGAAAAAACACATTAATAGCATTTATGCATCTTTACTACATGTGAAATGAGTACATGGGTTCTTTTTCTTTTATCTTGCCCGATGAGGTGTTTTATATAAAATGTTGTGTATGTCATGGACTCACGAAGGCTCCTGATCTATGTCTTCACAGAAAGCAGAGGCAACCGGGGTGAAAAGACCCAGAGGACGACCCAGGAAATGGGTGAGTCTGCTAACTCTTAAGGCCTGAGTGTGCGTCTGCGTCTTGCATGTCGGACACAGGAGCACATGTTACACACAACACAAGGGTTTCTGTGTCAGTTGATTCAAATCAGTTTGTGGCAAGAGGTGAACGTGCATGTGAAGGGAAAAGGAACAAGTGATTTTATTACTACACACTGTTTCCCTGTCGTTTTGTTTTCTTTTTCACTGTCTTAACATTTCCTGGCCTGATTACGTTGCTGGTGTGTGTGTGCGTTTAAATTTTTATTTTTTTTTTACGTTATCAGTCAAAGAAAATGTTTACTCTCCACGCTGAGCGCAGGAATACTTAAACAATTCCTCTGACAGCTTGAAGGCCTCAGTGTTTATCAGCTCCAAACGTAACAGACCTGATTGATAACGCGGGGAAAAGAAGCTGGCATTTCAAAGTGCCACCAGGAAGGGCGAGGAGGGACGCAGGGAACACAAGCTTTCTCCTGCATATATCGTTTCTGCGTTTTTATGTGTCACAGGGGGGGAACAAAGAGGCGAAAGCCTGCAAGAACAGAGGTGGAGGGTCATAAAGTGTGTGCTTTATATCTAGTGTCCTGGAAGGAATGGTGTATTCCAAGAATCAACTGTGCATATTTACTATCTCCACCATTGTTAACACTCTGCTGGTGTACTGGTACGAGCCCATGCTGAGACTTGTTAGCTCCATGCGGCGGCTTTAAAATCTACAGCAAGTAAATTAGCTGCTCGGTTCACATGCAGGGCAGTGGATCCTCCGCCTCCACAGCCTTCTTCAACAACAGGCCTACAGTTGCCAGGACGGGGAGAAACTTTGGAGGAACTCCCAGTGGGTCACTGTAGCATGCAGCGGGCATGAGAGCTACGAGACAAGTGTCAAGATTCAAGAATTTGTCTTTGCAAGCTCACCCATCAAAGACAAGTAATAATACACATGATCGAAATACACAATATAGAACGAAACTCTACAACACTAGAATCTGAGCCAGTGGAAACGAAAGAATAAGAAGCTCTGCAACAAATTATAAATATAGATAATGACACCGTAGGGAGATAATCGGTAGCAGCAGTTACCACATGTGTAACCATACGTTAATTATATCTGTCAGAGAGGTTGTGCTTGTTTGTTAGTCAGAAGGATTGCGCAGAAACGACTGGACTGATAAGCAAGAATGAGGTATGGGTGAGGAAAGAACTCATAAAGTTTTGGTGGATCAGGGAGTCTTTCTCTCTTTTTTTAATTTCGGTTTTATATTTCCTGGATCTTGATTGATGTATATCTAACTGTAAAAGGAAGGACATTTTCTGACAATCTCTCATCCAACTAACTTCAAAGTCGTATTTGATGAAGATTCATGAGAAATATCACAAAGAGAGACATTCAACGACAGGTACTTTGACAGACGCCGGCTCAAAAGACCTGCACGCGATCATCGGAGGTGTAGGAGTACTGCAAAGTTGAAATGGCTCATCATAGCTATGCTCGGTCACGTGAAGTCAAAGTATCTCGGGCTATTTCGGACGCACAGCAGGGCTGCATTGTTTTATTTGCTTTTTTTCCTCCACTCACACTTGACATATTAGGATTATTAACAGGCAGAGCAAATAACCACACACTGCTGCTGTTGTGGTAACGTAATGCTGCACCATGCGTCATTTGACTTTTCTGCTCTTTGCTGATGTAAAATAATAAAGTGCTGGATGAAGAGCAACGCCAAGTCAGTTTGTCAAATCAGCTGCAGGCCTCCGCTGAACCCTCAGACTTCAACCTGATAAAACAAGTTCAGGTTTACTGCAGCATTTACTCTTTAGTGCTGCCTGCCCGCGCCTGCATGTCCCAGGTACACTCACCTACACACGCTGCAGATTGTGTACCTTTGTATTGGTGTATCTGCTGTATGTTTAACTAGCACATTGGTCTGTCAGCAGGAGAATTAAGTCTCTTTTGCTGCTTTTCCTAATGTGTAGTTCAACCACAACTACTCACCGAGGGACTGAGGAGCAACGCAACAGGAACACAAATCAAAAATGCACTGTAAATGTCAAAGAGCAATTCTTTTAGTTGAAAGTGACAAAATTACCTTTAACCCTCAGCTCTTGCCTCATAGCCATCCACTTTCTGTCTCCATAGCAACCTTCTGTTTGAATCACCCATAGGCTGCTGGGAACCCAAATCCAAATTGAGTTTGACACAATAAACTAAAAATTACATTTTAGGACACGTTTTTAAATTGCAAGTACAATATCTTCATAACGTCTCATTGACATTGCTTTCAGCTCTATCCATTCATGTATCTGTTGATAGCTTGTAAATAAACCGATCAGCACAATAAGTCCTGCTCACTGAAACTTTAACCAACCTACGTAACACTGAAACCTACCTCTTGTTCTCAGATAGTTGAGTATCATGTTGTGTGCCCAGTTAAATGGATAAAAGAAATTGAAGGGCATTCCATTTAAAGTTACATTTAATGCTGAATTCAAATACAATAAACGTTATTCAAAGCCATGCACTGTATCAACCCCACTGCCACCACAACTACACTGGCAGGAACTGCTCAGATTGGTCAGACCTGGCTGTTCCAGGGTCAGCACCTCATTGGTATGTCCTCTGGCACCTCCACTGTTTGGCTGCAGGTCCTGTCCTCTATATGTGCAGGTGCTGAGATGCCGACCAGCTGACAAGCTTCCTCTGCTAGTAAAAGCTTGAAGGGCAACTCTGCCCTCCAATAGATGGCATTCATCAGTCGGGCACAACAGTTCCGCTTTTCTGCTGCCAAATGGCTGCTGTCCATTGAATTTTATGTGTTGGTTCCTTTACAGGCAAGCTTGTCCCTCTTTGCATGGAGGCAATGAAAACCCGTTGTTCCCACGACAAAAGATGCTTTTATAGTGTCAAGTCTTGATGAATTAGTAGCAGGGGAAAACAACCTTTGTGTTCTGTAATAATTGAGGTCAATTTGCTCTTTGACCCTTAACTGGACTGAGCCTGCTCTAATTAAAGGTGTCCTGTCGAGTTTTCCAGTGCTTGTCTTGAGATGAACCTAGTAAACGTCTCCTCCGTTCATTCTTCTGTTGGTCAAAGTGTCACTGCCCCAACATCTGTGATCAGTGATGGAATAACAAAGGGCGCATGTTATAGAGGTCTGTGCACAGTATAAACTCAATTAGGATCAACCAGGGCTGCAGAAGCTGGTGCAAAATCAGCCACAGGAAAGATCTCACTGCTGGAAATCGCAGCCTTGTCCTCCTCAGGGTGACACTTTCACATTTGTACAACAGTGGGATAAGTGTCTCGTCCATTTCTATGAATCCAGCTCTTATCATTGTCCCTTCAGCTCCAGGAGTCTAATCTTTCCTTGGATCTGAGAAACATAATAGCCAATCTGTCTGTGATAAGCACATGTTGACCGGGTTGATCTATCGGTCAGGATCTAGTTCCTCGTCATCACTAGGCCGAGTTTGATCTATTATGATACAGTTTAGGTACATAAACTGTCAAATATTACATTATAATAATAATATATTTATATAATTTCAAATTTTTTTGGGGGGGGGGGTTCAGTATCTTGCCCAAGGACACTTCAGGAAGACTGAGGATCGAACTGCCAAACCGCTCTACCCCCTCAGGCACAGCTGCCTCATATAACCTAGAATATTTCCCCCTCTTGCTTGATATATATTTAAGATTCTACTAAAAGCAAAATTCTTACTATGCAGAAGAATTGGACATTACCTCTCAGACTGAAGAAAGTGCATTAGAATAAAGTAAAAACTCCAATAAGGATCCCGAGCAGTTGTTTTAAAATAAAAGCATTAATATGTGATATATAAAATGAAATATAGTTCTTTGTCCTCCATGAGAATTCTATTGACATCTATGTCAATGTCCAAGAATTTATTTTCCCAAGTTCATCCCAATTCAGAAAGCAAATTCCAACTCAACCATTTTAGAGGCTAAGCACTATCCTCTCTTGGCTCAAACACGTGGCTGTGATACGTTGAACCACAGGTGGAACGCAGCATAAGGCGTAGGGATATCTACAGAAAGTGTTGTTCGTCCACTGCTATGTGCATTGGTCTAAGTCCGTCTCACAGGAAATATCAGGACATCACAAGGATCAGACCTTGGCTTGAGTTATTATCCCAGTTTTTTTTGTGCTTGATGGAGTGATGGCACATCCTGTAGAATACCAGGAACTTTGAGAACGAGGCGGAACCTCCACATTTGAGCCGATAAAGGTGGTACGAGCACAAGCAGGAACTCCTGCAGCGTGACTCCAACTTTGATCCCCCAGCTGTCAGAGAACCTCAGGGCTTTGGGAGAATACGAGGATGAGGATTTTTCTGTTTTCCAGGTATTGTTTAACAAGATCATGCCACTCATGGACGTCCCATAGCGCGGTGTAAAGTTCCCTGACGCAGCACTTGAAAACCTCAATGGAGGCTTAAGGCCATGATCAAAAGTTCAAGGTGTGCAGCAGTAAGCTGTCTCGGTGGTGATTTTTCATGGAGAACAACCTTCAGGCCACAATTACTGAGACGGACAATCTTCTCAAGATTCCCATCGCCACACTGGGGACAAAGGCAGAATCAGGGGAGGTGTTTCTGTACTTGAGGACAGAGGATCAAGACTTTACTGAGGAACACCATGACACATGATCACCTTAATGCTCTGGCTACGCTCTCCGTGGACCAGAGACTTATCAGGGACATTCCTCTTTTCACTAATAGGGTTATTGAGAGGTTCGCCACCCACAAGGGCAAATTTCCTGTTCAAATAATTAGACGGACACACACACGTCTTTTTCTACATGTGACAAGGCAGCCATAATGTCTTTTTTATGTCTTGATACTGCATTTGCCAATATCATTGTATTCTGTAAGTTAACACAACACTCAACAGTCTGATGATACAAATACTTGCTTTTTTTTTCATTATACATCCTTTATACTGTATAGTACCTTCCAGAAAAATGTAATTTAAATGAT